TTGCAGGCAGGGGCTTGGGCTTGAGGGCAAGCCTGGGCTGGGGGCGCCTGCCGAGACGCATCAGGGAGGTGCTGCGAGGCCACGGATGCTCCTTGCCGCTACTGGGAGTGAGACGCTGTACTTGGGGCTGTGCAAGCACCGCTGACAAGGGTGCTGGGGGGGAAGGCAGCAGGCTGCTGGGGAGGCGTGGGGCTAGAGCAACCCCCATCCTCACAGCCCCCGGGAATGCTGCCTTCATCCCCCACGGAGCACAGGGGGGCTTGGCTTCATCCTCCCACTCCTGCAGCATGGACCAGAGAACAGCCATGAAACCTCAGGGGAGAGCAACCCCTGTGTCCAGGGCTGCCGCTGCTCCTGGCACCCCACCAAGCCTGGTGGCCTTGTGCCCCGCGGTGAGGACACAGCTCTGCGTTCCTGGCGATGGGAGGGTGCCATGGGCTTGCCCTCCCTCAAGGGAAGCAGCACATGGCAAGGAAGGCAGCCTCTGCCGAGGCAGAGCCGTGAGCAGCTCTGCCAAAACCCTGGCCTGTAACCCTGGTGTGTCCAGCAATGTCTCTGGGGAAACCCAAGTGCCTCTAGGAGAGGGGGGGAAGACAACGGCGCTGCCTACCAGGTCGAGGATCCCACCACCACCTCCCAGTAGTGGCAGCCGCTGTCAATGAAGACGTTGCCTGCCGCGCCGTAGCATCCCGTCCCACTGAACCTCTCGGGCGTGTGGCTCTTCTTCAAGGAGCTCTCGTCCTTCTCCATCTGCAGCCCGTCATTGGAGATCTTCAACTTCTTGTGAGCCATCTTGGGGTCCAGCTTAAAAGGCTGACCTGTTAGAAAGCGACACATGGGTCAGGGTTTATGCTCGTTACCGTCACCGTGCAGGCGGAACACGGCAGGAAACGTCCGCCCCAGGCTCTCTGCGCATCCTCCGCGAGCCAAAGGCTCCCCACCAGCTGAGGACACTGGATTACGGGTACCCAGCGAGACACTGAGGCACATCCTCGTGCATCTATTGTCACGGGCTGCTCCATAAGCCATCGGTCCCTGTGCTGCTGCTCCTGGGGCCTGCGGTGGCTTCCCCAGCCCTGCTGGAAGGAGAGGACGAGACACGGCTGCCCATGCCTGCAGGCAAAAACCACCCCAGGCCCCGCCAGCAAAGCAGAGGGGAGCAGGGACGAGAGCAGCACCTGCACCTTGGGCTTATTCCCCAGCCTGGGAACCACTCGCTTTCCTGGCCCAAACAGAGGGAAAGGAACTGAAGCTGGAAAATGCAGAACTGAGCTGCAGGGAGCGAGCTCTGCCCGCAGGGAGGACCCGGCCCAGGGAGCAGGCAGGCTGGGCAGGACCCTGACGTGAGGGGCTGGGGAACGCCCGGGGTCTCCCTGTTGTGCATTAACCCCTTCGAGTGCCTCATGCCCCATCGGAGCGACTCCCTTTTGCCCTCTGTTAACGACACAAAATTAACGTGGCAGAAACAGGGGGATGTTGCCAGGTCATGGAAACGGCCCTGCAGACGCCATCCAGACGCACGGCGAACCAAACCCCGGCAGGGCACGTAGCCTGGCTTCCCGAACGGATCCATGCCCTGTTCACAGCCACGAGCACCGGGAAGGGTGAACAGACCCTGAAGTGCTGGAACACCCCTGGACCACAGGAGCAGCGCTGCAGCCCCGAGCACGTCCCCGAATCCCCACCAGCAGCCACGCAGCCCGCTCCCCGCGGCGCAGGGGCTGCTATTGCCTGCTACAGGCAGCACGCCCGAGGCTTTTCGGCGCTTCTCCGCTGCCAGACAAGGTCTCACGCTCAGAGGGGACAGCCTGGGCTGTGCAGGCGGCCGTGGAAGCGAAGCAAAGGCATTGGGTCCAGCCCATGCTGAGCTGGCGTGAGCACAGGGCCAGCCAGCAAGCGCACGCACGCCCCGGGGCTTCCTCCGCAATTAACAGAGCGCAGTGTGATGGGTTTTGCAGATCTCTAATGCCGGCTGGAGACGCAGCTGCAGTTCCTTTGTAACGTTACCAGCACGCAGAAAGCCAAACCGATTCCTAACTGGCACACGCCGGCCGTCCTGCTCGCTCTGATAAAACCCTCCTGAAGGTGCAGGGGAGCAGCTGCCCTCCTTCGTGCCCACAAACACCACCTCTCCTGGGCACCGGCTCCGCGCCACGTGCCGCAGCGAGCGCCAAGGACTTCTCTGGAAGGCTCCACTCTTTGGTGCCTCGCTGCAAAGCGAGCCCCCACCGCTCCCGAGCCCAGGCCTTGTGCAGGGTGACACGGGCGGGGACGGGGACAGAAAACCACTGGCCAACACAGACTTACTTGGTACGGGGGGGGTCAGGGGATTTGGTGCATCTTCTCGGGCTGCTGGTGCGCAGCCCTGCCAGCGACGCCCGGGCTGGTGCCCAGGCCCTGACACCCCCACTGCCCTGCCAGAGTGGCTCTTTTGAGCCAGGTTTAGCAACTTTTAGGGGAGGAACTCACAATCCCTTTTGCTCCTATGCTTTTTTTCCCTCTCCTTTGATAATTTAGGGTCATTTTAAGACCAGGTGCAGAAAGGCGAAGCCAGAAGGTTGTGTTTTGAGAAGCCCAGAACAAAGCCCTCCGTTTCGGGGCAGTGAGGGGAGAGAACTAGCGTGTCCGGGGAGCCTCTCTGCTCCCTGCTCCAGCCTTTTTCCATCACTCTCTTTGCTCCCAGTTCAGGACAGACTCTGGCTTCTCTGTGCAGCACCATTTTTTGGTAGGGTTAAATGAGCCTGCCCAGCCCTGAGGGCCTTCTGGTCCATCCCCACATGGTCACAGGCTTTGGGCACAGACTGTGCCTCAGTTTGCCCCTCTGTACAACACAGGAGCATCCCCAGGGGTGCCAAGGGCTGGTGACTGACCCTTTCTGGGTGCTGCTGCCAAAAAAAAAGCTACTCTGGGAGATGCTGCTGCATCCCCGCACCCTCCTGCGGGGAGCATGGCACCCATCCCCAGGGCAGCGGCGGCAGGGAGCCCCACCAAGCCTGCGGGGACCACGCCGTTGGGAAGGGGCGAGGGTGGGTTTTCCCACGGAGGGTATCAGCAGGGGTGGAACTGCCGCACCGAACGCGCCTGCC